TCAGAACCACTGCTGGAGCAAAAAGAAATTTATATTCCTTTTTTAAATTAAAATATTAAAAAAATATTTAACATTTATTCACCTTTGAGAGACAGAGCACAAGTGGAGGAGGGGCAGAGAGAGACAGAGAGGGAGACACAGAATCCGAAACAGGCTCCAGGCTCTGAGCTGTCAGCACAGAGCCCGATGCGGGGCTCGAACCCACCAACTGTGAGATAATGACCTCAGCCAAAGTTGGCCGCTTAACCAATTTTTTAAATTTTAAGTAGGCTCCATACCCGTCGTGGGGCTTGAACTCACAACCCTGCAATCAAGGGTCGTGTGTGCTACGAACTGAGCCAGGCAGCTGCCTGGAGAAGTTTATGCCTTTTAAGCTGTTGCATTCTGGGACCTTCTTGTTAGCCTCCTGAAACAAATGCCATGACTAAATAGGAGGGATCTGTGTGAAAAAAGGGAGAGAAGGCAGACTCCGAAACACCCAGTTGAGAGAGAACGAGGCTCATTCAGGGAACTGGGAAGGATTCAAGGTACCTGAAGCCATGGCTGAGGGAGGGGAGTGGCCTTTGTCAGCTAGGGATGTTATAATCAAGTACCTCGGACTGGGTGTTTAAACAACGGACGCTTATTTCCCACGGGAGGCTAGGAGGTCTAAGATCAAGGTGCCTGCAGGTTTAGTGTCTGGTGAGAGCTCCCCTCCTGGCTTGCAGCCAGCCACCTTCTCACTGTGTCCTTAGGGACACTAATCTCATCACGGGGACTCCGCTCGAATGACCTTATTTAACCCTATTGATGAGGGAGCATAAGGCAAGTTGAGAGCCAGGAAACTCCCCCCACCCGCAGCTGGGATATGGGTGCTATTCCTCGGCCACTCCTGGCTGCCCAGGGACAAAGGTAAAGGGAAAAACCAATGGTTAACTGATAGACGTCACAGTCCTGATGGACGTGGATCTATTAATTTTCAAATGTCTTTGTAAGTTGCAGGAAAAAGCCAATCTTATCAATAGACTGATCAGTTTCCTGGAGCCTCAACATCACCCCTCCAAAGTGATGTGGGGAACAAAGACAGAAGGAAATGGCAGGTAAAATTAGATCTTGTAACCTGCAGCCCATTGTCAGCCACTTGAAGCTGGCAGAGGAAACTGCTTCTCCAGGAACTGCCTGGAACATTAATGTGAACACTGCTGGAGGGAAAAACCACCTTAGCCTGACAAAAGCCAGGCCTCCAGTATCCTGGGAATCTTCCTTAGCATATGAAAATCCCTTTGGAACCTTCCCCAGGACTTTCCCTCCCCCAACTCCCAAATATATAACCTGCCTCTCCACAGGGTCCTCAGGCAGCTCTTTCTGCCCACGGGTCCTGTCCCTGTGCTTTCTTAAAATCCCTTTTTTGCACCAAAGATGTCTTCAAGAATTCTCTCTTGGCTGTCGGCTCTAGGCCCCACAAACCCTACCATCACCTCAAAAAACCTCATCACTATCACCTTCAGAAATAATCTCCTTGGGGCGCCTGGGTGGCTCAGTCAGTTGAGCATCGGACTTAGGCTCAGGTCATGATCTCAGGGCTCATGAGTTCGAGCCTCTCTATGCTGACAGCTCAGAGCCTGGAGCCTGCTTTGGATTCTGTGTGTGTCTCTCTCTGCCCCTCCCCTGCTCGTGCTCTGTCTCTCCCCCCAACCCCAAGAATAAATAAACATTAAAAAAACTTTTTTAAAAAATCTCATTGGGACTTAGAGCTTCAACATAGTTAACTATTTTGGTGGGGGTCTGGGGTCAGGACACAAACACTCAGTCGTTAATAGATGAGGGAAAGGAAGATTGGACGACATCTTGGACCTCACGTGCCAACAGCCTCTGTTGACCTCCTGTGGGCTGTGGGGAGCCACGCGGGTTGGGACACGATCCAATTAGCTATTTGGCTGGTCAGCTTGGAGTTGCAGCCCTCGCGCTTTTTAACGTATGAAACATTTCAGAAGGCTCGGTGGTAATGCAATACGCATTAGCATACCCCACCACCTCGCTTGAAAAATACGTTTCGGATGAAGTCCCAGGATCTCTTTCCTGATTCCAAATTCACCTTAGTTTTCTTGTTTGGTCTGGTTTGGGTTTTTCTGAGGGCCCTTGGAAAAACAGGGCATGCATCATTGAATATACACGGTGTGTCTTCTGTGCTAGGCCAGGTGCTATAGTAGCTAAGTTGAGAGAGGGCGGCCATGGCTGGATGAAAAGCAAGCAAACAAACAAACAAACAAACTTGTGCATTCCCAGAATACGCAGATTCCCATCTGAGACCAGGTGCGGCACGCCGGGAGGGGCGTGTTTCTGGAGCACAGATACAGGATGGGATAGATATTTGCACAGAACCTCCACGCAGCCCCTCCTTCTTCTGATCCATGTGTGGAGGAACGGTGTGGTCAAAGGAAATCTGAACTATGTCTCTGGAAGCTTGGCAGTTCTGAGATGGACTCTGAAGGATTGGCGGAGTGGGGGGTGGGGGGGGTACAGGTAGTATTCCATGTTTTCATTCAGCGGATGAATATCCAAGAGGATATTGGACGTGAGCAGCTGGTGATGTCAATGGTGTTGAAGAGATTTCATTTCCTGGGCACGAGGCCAACGCATTGGAACTTGGGGCCACTGGCGAAGGACAGAGAGCGCCACAGAGCTGGAGAAGAAGGTGTTTGGCAGGAGATTTCCCAATGCCATCGAAGGGCATCGGAAAAAGGCTGTTATGGGATGCAGAGTGGACATCTGTTGTTTTGGTCTGCGTGGCATCCATTTGCTGTCTTCTTTCAACAGCTTTTCTATCTTGGAAGGGAAACCATCCATCTTCTTCTCATGGTCTATGCGGCCAAAGAGGGCTGATCTCATCTTTTGGCACCAGAAAAGTTACCAAAATTTCAATGACTGCTTCAGAGGTGGACACATGACCCCATCTGGACCAGTGGGGGTTGTCATTGGCACTTTGCTCAAATGGCTGGGAGTGAGGTGTGCTTTCTTTCTCTATTAGAGAGGCTGAGATGATCACTGATATGTCTGGAGCTGCTGAGTGCCACCTTGCTTTAAGGAGACTGAGACTGAGGTCAACATAGCAGAAAGCTGAGCCTGATGATGGAGAGAGAGAAACACCTGAAAACATTACAGCACCTGGATCTAACCATGCCTGAAGCTAACCCTGCTCCTTGGACTTCTCAGTTATACAAGCCAATATTCTCCCTCCCACCCCTCTGGTTTAGTGGTTTCAGTCAAGTTATTGGTACTGATAGTTGAGGAGAAAATGAAAACAGCCTTCGTGCAAGAGTCCAGAACAGATGACAGAGACAGTGAGTGTCATTATTCTTGAGCAAAAATAGAGATGACAACTTTATGGCTTTGCAGGTGTGTCTCCCAATGCAAAGGGTATAGGGAATGGATAAGGCAGGATTTTCATGTTACTGAAAGAAGCAAAATATAATTTCAGAAACATCACCGCCACTTGGAAGGGATTCATAACTAGCAGTCCCAATGGAAGGAGATACATTGTTTGAAAGATGCAAATCTAATGGAAAGGGAAATGTGTAACAGCTCCTGCAAAGAAAGTCATCAGGGGCACCTGGCTGGCTCAACTGGTAGAACGCGTGGCTTTTGATCTCAGGGTCATGAGTTCAACCCCCCCCCCCCCCATGCTGGGTGTAGAGCTTACTTAAAAAAATAGGGGCGCCTGGGTGGCTCAATTGGTTAAGCATCTGACTCTTGATTTCGGCTCAGGTTGTGATCTCACGGTTCGTGAGTTCGAGCTCCGCAATGGGCTCTGCACTGACAGCATGGAGCCTGCTTGGGATTCTCTCTCTCCCTCTCTCTCTCTCCTCTCCCCCACTTGTGCCCTCTCTCAACAAATACATTAATCAACTTAAAAAACTTAAAAATAAATAAATAAAAAGGAGAAGGTCTGTCCATCAGTGCAGAAAGCTTTTGGGTCAGGACTCACACAGACAAGACCCCCTCCCCCACCCCAACCCCTCCCCCACCCCCCAGGCCAGAGGAAGCTTCCAGATGATGCTTTCCTAACACATGTCCCCAAGGCCACGATACAGGGTTTTCACGGGGAATTCCACTTATTCAGACACAAGCTGGAATTCTCCTTTTGCTAAAGTTTAGAACATCCGATAAATTATTAACTGACTTTACTGGCAGTTTTTCAGAACACAGAGGTAGCAATGGAAGGAACTGTTCTTTTCATTTAAACGAACGAACAAACACACATTTTCTTCCTTGAATATAAAAGGACGACATCCTTTTTGCGGAAAATTGAGAAAGGTATTGGTAGCAATACCAGCCATTTGTCAATCTATGTCCCAGTTGTAAGTGACGGGACTTGGGTACCAGATGCTGGCTAAATATTTCGTAAATGGGTTCCCTTCCTCTCCACTGCGATTTTAAGAGGTACATTCCAGTATGATCCTCATTCCATAGATAAGGAGATGGAGGTTGAGCAAAGCTAAAAAAAATTCCTGAAACCAGGTCGGGGTTCTAGCCAGGATTTGAACTCAGTCATATGGATCCTAATCACTACATTATGTTGCATATTTCCTTCCATTTGTGTGAATTCCTCATTTTATTGTATGCTTATTGCCCTTCTTTTCTTTTTTTTAGTAGTTTGTCTGTTTGTTTGTTTACTAGGCTCCACACACAACATGGGGCTTGAACTTACAAACCTGAAATCAAGAGTCACACACTCCACCATCTGAGCCAGCCAGGCGCCTCTCTTTTCCCCCTTCTACTTGATATAATAGAGGCACTTTCCCATCTTGTTTAAAGCTCTTAACTTCTTTAATTAAAAAAAGTACACACATGTAAACTAGACTGATCTAAGGGAATCCATGAATTCATCACAAGGCTTCAACAATTATCGACCAATCTTATTTCCTCTGTCTGCTCCTCACTCCATTATCTAAAGCAAATTACAGACAGCACATTACTTTATCTCTGAAGACCACAGCCTGCAATTTTAGTAATTTTTTAAGTCTTATGTCTCCTCAGGAAACCATAGCACTACTGAGTAACTATTATATCCTATGGAAAACATCACTATTTGGTTATAGAGTTAAGAGCTCTTGGTTTTAGTTCCCAAATCCCTCTTGGAAGTGACCTAAGTAATTTCTTAATGTTATCGGAATCCAGTCTGTGCTCAAGTTTTCCCCATGTAAACATTACTGTAAATGCTCTCCTCTTTTTTTTTTTTTTTTTAACATTTATTTGTTATTGAGAGACAGAGAGAGACAGAGCATGAGCTGGGGAGGGCAGAGACAGGGGGAGACACAGATTCCGAAGCAGCTCCAGGCTCCAAGCTGTCAGCACAGAGCCCGACGCGGGGCTCGAACTCACCAACCGCGAGATCATGACCTGAGTCAAAGTGGGACGCTCAACTGACTGAGCTACCCAGGCGTACCAGTGCTCTCCTCAATTAGGTTCTGAGGACACATGGGGAAGAATCTGGTGAGTGGTATAGAAGTGTCAGAAATCTTTTTTTTTTTAAACGTTTTTATTTATTTCTGAGAGAGAGAGAGACAGTGTGAGCAGAGGAGGGTCAGAGAGAGAGGGAGACACAGAATCTGAAGCAGGCTCCAGGCTCTGAGCTGGCTGTCAGCATAGAGCCTGACATGGGGCTCGAACCCATGAACCGTGAGATCATGACCTGAGCTGAAGTCTGGCACTTAACTGATTGAGCCACCCAGGTGCCCCAGGAAGTGTCAGAAATCTTGAGCCAAAGTGTCCCTGTCTTTGTGGAATCTGAGATAGCAAACCAACAAAGACGCTCCCCAAATGTAGGAAGCCATCCAAAAGTTCAGTAGAAAGAAATATGTCCGACTCCATCCCTCACTGCTCGGTCCCGTAAGGTAGCACTAACCACAGGTGGCTGCATACGTTTATGTTAATTAAAATACTCTTGATTTCGGCTCAGGTCATGATCTCACATTCGTGAAATCGAGCGCCATGTTGGGTTCTGTGACCGAGTGGAGCTCTCTTGGGATTCTCTCTCACTCTCTCTCTGCCCCTATCCTGCTCACACACTCTCTTTCTCTCTCTCAAATGAATAAATAAAAACTTTTCAAAAATCTTTTAAAAAATACAATTTTAAAGTCAGTCCCTCGATTGGCTTTGGCGACCTCTCCAGCGTTGAGTAGCGATGTGCGGTGAGTGGTTACCATATTGGACCGTGTAGACACAAGCCGTTTCCACACCATCACAGAAGTTTCTAGTTGGTCTAGAGTTGAAGAAGGAATGGTATTCACAAGGGGCAAGAGACTAAACAATCTTTTTATCCACATTTATAATTGTGTAAGGTCTTGGAAGAGTGCAGCATGCCCACATAGGGAACTTGACCAACTTAACATTCAAGAGGAAGTCGGATATATGCCTCAGGTCTCACTGCTCATTCAATAGCTTTAATTGAATGGTCTCCATCTAGCCCTGGGCCAACTAGAGGTTTGCTTTATTTTTAAACTTACTTCCTTTTCTATAAACAAAACAAAACAAAACAAAACCCCAATTCCTGTTCAGCAGTGGAAAAGCCGAAGTTAGCCAGTCTTATAAATACCAGCTACGTACAGCCACTTCCAGTTTTAAATAGTTTCATTTCAAGGAAACATTCTGTCACTTGCAGATATTGGTGTTTTGTATAGCAGCCTGGTTCAGGGCCCCTGCTCAGGGCTCGGGAAGCAGAAGACAGCTTTGTCCAATGGTGCTCCTTCCCCTCCTCCCAGCAACCCCTCCTGTCTGCTCCAAGAGTCCCCTTGTGGGATGTGAGAAGGATCTCTCCCTTCTCTGCTAGGCCAGCCTTCTCTGTTTGGCCAGTCCCTCCCTCAGTGTCTGGTGGTAGTGGCACACTTGTCTGGATCCACCTGTGTGGGGGAATCCGGGAAGGATTCAGCTGTGATGCCATCCTTGGTGTAGGCAATGACCCTGACAGTAAGTCTGTCCAAGGTCCCAGGCTGGGTGGACCTTCAAAGACCGGTGGTCAAGCTTTCAGACCCTCAGCTACTCTGACTGTCAGGGGGAGACTCCCTCCTTGGTCACCTAGGCTGGCTCTCCTGGCTCAGCCCACCTTTACCCAACATGGCAGAACCTTCTTGTATGAAATGCCAAGGATGAGGCACCGTCTTCTTCTGCCCAAGTGCAACACCCCACAACTACATATACGCCAGTGAGGTGCCAACTGCCAGTAAGTAACTCCAGGAAAAAAGGGGTTACTCCAGACTCTCTCTCCCACATCACAGGCACTTCCCTGGAGCTCACCAATTTGAGAAGACAGGTCAAGAGTCCCCATATTGCATGGGATGGGGGCAATGGTTGAAGATAAATTACTTCCTAAAGAACTCCGCTCCTTCTCAAAGACATCCCCCTCATCCTTCTTTGTCTCCATTCCTATTATCTTATCTCTTCCACGTGTTTTAAAGCTAATGACCCAGGTTAAAAGGCTATATTAGTTATCTATTGCTGTGGATCTAATTACCCCCAAACTTAGCAGCTTAAAGCAACAAGCTATCATTATCTCACATCGTTTCTGAGGGTCTGGAACCCAAGTGTAGTCTAAGTTCTGGCCCAAGGTTTCTCACGTGGTTTCAATCAGAATGTCGGCTGGTGCTGCATCATATGAAGGCTTGAGTGGGGCTGGAGGAGCCACTTCCAAGATGGCGTGCTCGCATGACCATTGAGCAGAGCTTTCATTCCCTGTTGCATGGGCCTCTCTAGAGAGTTGCTCAAGACATGACAGCTGACTTCCCCCAGAGCAATTGCCCTGAAAGAAAGAGAATAACCAAGATGAAAGAATGTTTTATAGCCTAACCTCAGAAGTGACATACAGTATCTTCTGCCATATTCTGTTGGTCTCACAGACCAACCCTCACACAGGGTTGGGGAGGGTAGCTATCTAACAGGGAGAATACCAGGAGGCAGGGAGGATGGGGGTTGATGGAGGCTGGCCACCAGGATGAGGCTCATTGATTGTGAGCATCTGGCTGGAAGTCAAGTTCTCTTTTAAGTTAGCCCTTCAGAATTAAGCAAGCTGTTTTCACCTAGCACAAGGTTTTCCAGGAAAGGCCCAGTAATGGTCTTGGCTGCAATTACCTTCCATACACCTGCTTACTAAATTACATTTTGTTATTATACAAATAACGTGTATTAGTGTTAACAAAAAAAGGAAAACAGACACAGACAAGTAAAAAAGCAGATAAAAGTCATCTCTTAGTTCACTATTCAAAATCAAACTTTGCCGTTATGGTTTTATAGAATTTTCTTCCACATGAATGTTTACTTTTACAGACTCTTCCTTGTTGGTTCACACTTTTAAAAAAATGTTTCATTTATTTCTGAGAGAGAAAGAGAAATAGTGTGAGCAGGGGAGGGTCAGAGAAAGAGGGAGACACAGAATCTGAAGCAGGCTCCAGGCTCTGAGCTGGCAGCACAGAGCCTGACGCGGGACCCGAACCCACAAACTGTGAGATCATGACCTGGGCCGAAGTTGGACACTTAACCGACTGAGCCACCCAGGCTCCCCTGGTTCACATTTTTAACAGCATCTTCTGAATACCTGTATTTGTTAGTAATCTTACTTCTAAGGATTTACTTAAGGAAATACTCACGTCCATGAACAAAGAGGAAGCTTCAACCAACTTGGCCCAATATATTTACCTGATACTCTTGAGGTTATTTTACATTTGTTTGCATTTCAGATTTAGAAATAGTTCTTCATGGTTTCTGATTCCAGAAGTTCTTATGTTCATCTGAGTTTGTTTAAATTAATTTTAAGGATACACTTAAATTAATTTTAAGTGGTACGATCAAAAAAAGTTTCTGCTTTCTTTGCACTATAATAAAAAACGTATAGTCATTACCATTCAGGGCCCTCCATGACTATGCTTTTCTTTCATCATTTTTTTTTGTTTTCTTTGTTCTTTTCTTCTAAAGTTTGAATTTTTCAAGTTTCCTTACACATGAATATTCATATTTTAAAAAATTTTTTGTTTTTAGCGTTTATTTATTTTTGAAAGAAAGAGACAGAGCATGAGCAGGGAGGAGGGACAGAGAAAGAAGGAGACACAGAATCCAAAGCAGACTCCAGGCTTTGAGCTGTCAGCACAGAGCCTGACACAGGGCTTGATCCCATGCACGAACCGTGAGATTATGACCTGAGCTGAAGTCTGACCCTTAACCAACTGAGCCACCCAGGTGCCTCAACAAATATTCTTTGTAACCTCAATTCTGAGCTGAGAATTGTAATGTTTTTGTTTTGTGGTTTCCTTATACCCCTTCTTTATCACCTGTTTCATGTGGCTTTTATTTATCTCAGTCTGTTGCCTTTTCACTAGAGTCTATTTTTTCCCTTATGGTGCTATATTTCCCAAAGGTCATGTCTTCTTGTAGACATGGTGGATGCAGAGAAGGTTTGCCCACATCCCTCCTGGTGATCTTGCAACAGATGGTTCTCAGTAGTTTACTCTTCCTGTAGGCTCCAATCGCACATCTGCTTTTTTTTTTCCTTCTGTATTTTTTTTCCATGGGCACCATGCTGCTTTTGTTCTCTTAGTCTGCTATTTTTTTATTGAAGTATAGTTGACACACAATGTTACATGAATTTCAGGTGTGCAAAGCTACAAGGCTACATGTTACACTGTGCTCACACATGTAGCCTTCTGTCACCATATGATGCTGTTACAATACCATCAACTGTATTCTTGATGTTGTACTATTCATCTCTGAAACTTATTTGCTGCATAAGTGGAAGCCTGGGCCTCCCTTTCCCTTCCATCCATTTGCCCAAACCCCCTCACCCTCTGGCAACCACCAATTTGTTCCTTGTATTTATGGCTGTGTTTCTGCTTGTTTGTTTGATCTCTTTCTTTTTAATTTAGTTTAATTGATTAATTAAATACATTTATATCTGAGTTAGTTAGCATATAGTGCAATAGTGATTTCAGGAGTAGATTCCAGTGATTCATCCCATACATAAAACACCCAGTGCTCAGCCCAACAAGTACCCTCCTTGCTACCTTTTGCCCATTTAGCCAATCCGCCCACCCAACGCCCTGCCATCAACCCTCTGTTCTCCATATTTAAGAGTCTCTTATATTTTGTCCCCCCTCCCTGTTTTT